TACTACAATCCCCTATAAAACTCAGGCAGGCCAACTGTAGCATGTTTCGCAGCCTAGTTTCGGATTCAGGGTTTAGGGTTTAGGGTCTTGGATTGAAGCAGCAACGGCAACCACTTGGAGTTCTGAAGTGTGCGCAGAGCACATGCAGATGCCCGAAAACCAACAATACAAACGTGAGGCTGAGTACTACACACCCCGAACTGCCCTGAACCTTGCACCCTAAAGCCCGGGACGAAGCGCAACTACGCAGATCCGGCTACGGCAGGTGTAGGCAGACGCGGCAACTGAATAAGACCATGGGCAGTACTCTTTTAGGAGGGCAGGATGCAGGGGAGCACTCAAGCACGGTCAGGCTCTTTGGTCATCCAGGGGCCATTGCGCAACATCCGCGACACGTCGGAACAGGCCGAGCAGTGGATGCGAGCGATTCACAGCTGAACACAGGGTTGGTGTTCTCTGCTGGTAGGTGCATGAAGCTTACTATGGTTGAGTGGCTCTTGCAGGCTCGAAGATTGAAAATGGGCTTGTGCACCCAGCTACTCCCCGGCTTACATACCACTGCACCCTAAACCCTAAACCCAAACCCTAAACACTAAACCCTGAACCATCTAGGAATGGCCAGGAGCAGTTGAGACTTCAAGCCCTGAGCCGTACCTGACGGTTTTCCCAAGCATGCATTGCTCCGAGATCTGCATCCTCACCCAAATTTTGCGCAAACCCCCAAATGCACCAGACGGACCCAGCAGTCCTCAAAACACAAAAGGAAACCCCCCCCACCCCCCCAACCCCTCCCCGCAATCCCTCAATGCCTCCAAACTCCTTAATCCAACTCCCTCACAACACCCCCCTCTAAACCCTAAACCCTAAACCCTGAGCCCTAAGCCCTAAGCCCTAAGCCCTAAGCCCTAAGCCCTAAGCCCTAAGCCCTAAACCCCAAGCCCTAAGCCCTAAGCCCTACCACCCCCGCAGGATCTGGTGAAGATGGAAGCCGCGTGGAGCAGCGATGGCCTCTCCGGGGTGGCATCCTCAGCGCGGCTTTGGATGGTGTCTCCCCAGACTACAGTTTATAGGCTACTTTTTGCTTAAGAACCCCCCCATAAATACAATATATTCTTCCTTCTAAGGGCAATATAGGGACTTTTTTTTGGGGGCGTCCTTTAAGCAAACGGTAGTAGGGTTTAGGGTCGAGGCCTAAGGATGTAGGGTTGCCTTGGAGCATACGAGTCAAGCGCCTGCAAGTGTTTGGGGTTTAGGGTTTAGGGTTTAATTAGGGTTTAGGGTTTATAAGGTTTAGGGTTTAGGGTTTAGGGTTTAGGGTTTAGGGTTTAGGGTTTAGGGTTTAGGGTTTAGGGTTTAGTGCATGGAAGAGTACCGGATCAAGGAGACACAACAAAAAGTCCCAACCCGCTCGCCGGGCTCATCCGTGCGTGCGGATGGGCGGTGTTTGTTCGTCATTGTGGCTTCTTCGCTCAGTCATTAGGGTTTAGGGTTTAGGGTTTAGGGTTTAGGGTTTAGGGTTTAGGGATCTTGCTGACAGTCCTGTACCCTGAAGCATGGCACCCTTGATCCACAGCTGGACAGTGGTCCCCGCCCCAGCCTGTTTCCACAAAGCCTTCGATTCGGGTGTAGGAGGTTAGGGTTCAGGAATTAGGGTTTAGCGTTTGCCTATTTTACAAGCACCAGCATTGTCGGAAGTTTTCATATGGACGGATCAGAAGAGGAGACTCTTGGTGGTGAGTAGGAAGCCTTCGACCTCTTTTTGGACACCCTGAACCCCAAACCCTAAAGCCTAAGGGTTAGTCCGTTGAACCCAGACCTGCCTAAGCAGCGCGCACCCTGATAAACGATCACTTCTAGCAAGGCTTCTAAACCCTAAAATCTTCAACCCCATAAAAACCCTCAACCCTAAACACTAAAGCCTACAACCCTAAACCCTATGTAAACACTATATTAAACCCGCAACACTCAACCCTTAGCCTGAAGCCCTAAACCCCAATCCCTAAGCCCCATAAACCCCATATAAACCCTCAACCCTAAACACTAAACCCTATAGCCCTAAACCCTATATAAACATATATAAACCCGATGTAAACCTAAACCCCAAAACCATAAGCCCTGTAAACTCTATAGAAACCCTGTATAAACCTATATAAACCCTATATAAACCCTGTATAGACCCTCAACCCTAAACCCCCTAAACCCTAAACCGTAAGGTCCAGAAGTTGCAGCCGGAGCTCTTCCGCATTCGGGAGCCTCGTGCACCCAACCGGCGGTGAAGGGCAGCAGAGGTGGGGGGGTGGGGGGGGGGGCCTCTTTTAGGGTTTAGGGTTTAGGGTTTGGGGTCTAGGGTTTAGGGTTTAGGGTTTAGAGGGTTTAGGGTTTAGAGGGTTCAGGGTTCAGGGTTTAGGGTTTATTTGTGTTTAGGGAGCCAGGGCGTCTCAAAAGAACCTCAGGGTAGCAAGACCAAAGACCCATCCACCCGCCCTGAACCCTAAACCCTAAGCCCTAAACCCTAAACCCTAAACCTTTGGTCCAGGGTGCAGTCTGACGCGGGAGCCGGCCTCCAAATCCTGGAGATCTAGGAACTGCGGGCGGTGACATATGATCGGTGGCGACAAAACCCTCCCTTAAGCCCCGAATTGGATAAACGCCATAAAGCCCTACAACCCTGAACCCTTCAGCCCTCAACCCTGAAAACCCTACAATCCTTAAACCCCCGAAACTTAATGCCTAAAGCCGTAGCGCCTGAAGCCCTGTGAAAGTGGTAGGAAAGTGGTAGCCAAGTGGTACGCTTTTGCCCTTTGTATGGTTCAAGGTTCCCTTGCAAAGGAATCAACCCCGACAAGGGTACCCTTAGTACAATGACCCTACACCCTAAGACAAGGGCTGCTACGGGTGGGTTCAAGGTGTGGGGTTTTAGGCTTCAGAGTGTTGGGAGTTTTTCAGGGAGGGTTTTGGGGTTTAGGGCTTTTAGGGCAGTGGTGTAGGGCTTTGGGTTTGAGGTTTCGGGTTGTTCTGGGATAGTAACTGACTGTAGAAGGCTTGTTATGAACGGTACATTGTCTACAGCCCACCTGAAATTGCCCTGGCAACCTACGTAGATCTCCATGCCTTGGCTCCATTTGTTTGAGGCCGAAGCTGCGGCAATACCTGTCAAATATGATACCTAGGGCCCTAGGGTTTAGGGCTGAGGGTTAGGGCTGAGGGTGATCCCTTTGCATCCCTTCGTTGTCTCAAACCTTGCAACCCTTGCAGCTGTTAGTGGAGCTGTTCCCTTTCGGAAATCCCAATAGTTGGGGGCTTGGGGCTTTCTTCTCAGTTCCTTCAAACGACGGTGGGCTTTTTTTTGCTGACAAGGCAAGCTGCTTCTCGGAACCCGCCCGCGTAAATAGGGCCCTAGGTGAGGGCGGTAGGATACCGCTGTGCCTGCCGGTCGACTGCGAGCATGCGGCAGATCCCTCCGTTGTTCATTTGGAGGGCGGGGGTTACCTGTTAGAATACGGGTCCTTACGGACCCTCTTGCTCTTGTTTAGGGTGCCACAAGAATCTTAAGGCCCAAAACCCTAAACCCTAAACCCTATAAACCCTAAACCCTAAACCCTAAACCCTAAACCCAAAACCCTAAGTCTAACAGTCTGTGTGTCCCTAAGCCCTCGATCCTAAACCCTGCACCGCAGATCGATCTGCATGTGGGCTCAAGAGGTTTCTATGCTCGTGTCAAGGCAGCTTCTCACGGATCTTCAAGCCTTAATTGTGGCTTACTTTTTACTCATGCCTTACTTGTTATTAGATCTTTACATACACACACATTTATACAGATATGTATACAGATATGTATATATACATATAATATATATATATATATATATAACCGGTCAAACTAAAGGCTTCATAGGGCTCAGGCTTCGGGTTTAGCCAACAGCTCCGCAAGAGGCGTCGGAGTTCTCTGATAGCCTGCGCACGCCGCCGCGATGGCTTATGGGCTGAAGAGAATCACAGGCGCAGGGCTCGGTGTAAACGCCCTAAAAGCCCTAAGCCCTCAGCCCGTCTTCGTGCCTTGTTTCGCCTTTTTGCGCAGGGGTGGGCTTCCTTTCAAGGGGCCCTGTGAGCAAAAATGGGGTTCCCCCCCTCCGGTACCTCCAAGACATGAGATGCCAGATATGTGGGGAAGCACTCATGGGAAGAAGTAGCAGATTCCCATCCCCCCCAAGGTTCGTAGAACTTACTGGCTCTCCGTCGGGGAATCCCCTTTAACGGGTATTGTATGCCTGAGCCTTGTGAGGTTTAGGGGCTGGTCCCATAGGCCAGGGGGCGCTGTTGTTAGGGTAGTATTGAGGGTTGAGGGTTTCATAGTTTACTGCTGCTCAGCAAACTCACCGCTTCTGAAGCCACCGGTTTCTTGCAGGTTCAGGGTTTAGGGGGTTTAGGGTTTAGGGTTTAGGGTTTGAACCCCGTCGAACACTCCAAGTTCTCCGGGTTTATGGTTGAGGGCTTCGGTCAAAGATCCTCCGGCCACGAAACTCTCAGCTGCTTACCACGGCGCAGCCTTTTCAGGGTTGAGGCGATCTTGAGCCAACATCCCAAAGCCATGAAACCCAAATCCTGAACCCAGTCGACTTCAGCAATACGGAGTTGAGGTATTTCGGGCTCAGGGTTTGAGAGGAAGCTCGAAAAGCACTCAAGTTGGTGTAGCGTTGGCCATGCTAGGCCAAGCTAACCAGTCTAATTCAATGTCCAGAGCCCGTCTTGGGTCTGTGAGGACTTTTGGTCCTATGTAGGGTGTATGGGGTCCACATGTGCTTGTTAGGGTTCTACACAAGGTCTATTTAGGGTTTAGGGCTTATGCGGGGAGACTAGCACAGTTTAGCAGCATCGGGCCACTTAGCCCTAAACCCTAAACCTTAAACCCTAAACCCTAAAACCCCGAACCCTAAGCCCCCTTTCATGTCCCTTCGCTGGCAATGGCAGCAGCGGAAGCTGCTGAAGAGCCGCATGAGGCCATGGCGAAGAAAGAGACCCTTGTCCAGTCCTAAACCCTAAACCCTCAACCCTAAACTCTAAACCCTAGAGGGTTTAGGGCCCAGCGTATCGTAGTACATGTGAGAAAAGGGCGTTGAGACTCAAGTCTTTGCCCTTGGGCCCCCCAGAAAGGCTTCAATTCCACAGGCAACATCTCCGTTTCAGGGTTGTCCCAGATCCAGAATAGTACTACGAGTGGACCCTCTTGGTCTTGCTAAGGAAGTGAAGCTATGTTACCGTAGTAAGGACGCGGTTCCCGTAATAAGAATACTCTTTTGTGTGCTAGCTAGCCCTTTGACAGTCACTTAGGGCAACCTCCTTAGCAACCTAGATATTTTGCACAGGGCTTCTTCCATTGTGTCAGCTATATCCTAGCCCTAAACCCGAAAGATATACCCTGAGGGTCTGTTTGTAGTACGTACAGTTATGGAATCAGATACCCAACAACCCTTTTCAGTGTCCGTTTTGGGTTCCTAATATAACTGCACTGCAAAAGGACCCTCTGGGGCAAGCCCCAAACCTGAGACCTCAGACGACTTCTCAAGGACCGTGGTCCGCCAGCAGTTTCGGCCTAGCAGGTGGGAGATTGGCTGGAGAGTTTAGGGTTTGACTAGGGTTTAGGGTTTAGGGAACCAGCGGACCGGAGATCTTGTTTTCGTGATAATACCAAGACTTCAAGCTCAAACCCTCTCGGCTGCCCCCATGCGATTGCGGAGGTGTTTCCTGCGTTTCCAGCTAGTCTTTGCCACTTGGCTGCTACTAACCGCCCAGGGGCCAGAACATAATTTTCGTTTTACATCAAATTGTTTGTTTTTTACCTTTGGCGGTCGCTTAATTGCGCTCCTTAACAAGAATCGCTTTTGCTTTCATCTGATGCTTCTAGCTGCGCTGGGTGAGGGGTTTCGGGCTTGATGTGCTAGGATGCCCAGTAGGTGCCCTTATTCCCTTTTTTGGGGGTTTAGGTTCCTTTATAAACCCCTTTAAGCAACAAAGGGCACCCTTTTTTTAAGCCTTGGTTACTGGGCAGCCTAGTGTGTAGGCTTCAGAGTGTAGGGCGATGCCTCTGCGCCAGGGTACGCCGCCGGCCGACCCACCCACGGCAGCAGTGTTTCAAGCAGCCGTGACCGAGGTGTGGGTTTAGGGTTTTGGGTTTTGGGTTTTGGGTTTAGGGTTTAGGGTTTAGGGTTTTGGGTTTAGGGTTTATTATTCAGGGTTCAGGGTTTCCGGGTAGCGGCCTTCATACAACATGGGGTCCCAAATGTCGTCTAACCTACGCCCCACGCCCTGCAGCTGAAACCTCCACGGCAACATGAAGCCGTGGCAGGAGTCTTCGTAAGTGCGGAGGGGCTTCCGTAGTTATGTGACTACGCCGCGGGCTCCCTCATATTTCATGGGTAGTTACAATCAAGTGCGGCGACTGACGGCATCTGAATAATATAGTTACGACTTCTGCGGGGGCTTTTTGGGCTCTGCTAACACTACCCGTGAAACTTCGAGTCCTCACACACCGCTGGGAGTGCGAAATTTGACCGGGGTGGTTTCCAAATTCCCAGGTCACTTCAAGACGACCCTACACCCTAAACCGGAAACCCTAACTTATGGACCCTTCGCATCCTACCAGGCACTGTCGACGTCCTTCGGCAACATCGGCTCCTTAGCCACAGGGCAGCTGCTGCCTATGGGCTTTTCAGGGCTTACTGTTCTGGGGTTTAGGGTTCAGGGTTCAGGGTTTAGGGTTGAGTGTTTCGGGTTTAGGGTATAGTTTAGGTTTTTGAGGTGTAGGCTTGAGGTTCTTCAGGTCCACTTGAAGGTTCACAAAAAAAACCAAACTACTTGGAAGCAGAGTCTTTGGGAGGATCACTGCTCAAATCCTGGGTCTGCAGGGAGTATTCCAACCCTAAGCGCAACTGCCCACAAACCTCCGAGTAGGCTTTGGATTGTACTGCAGGATGCTTGGGCCGTGGGTGTGCATGTTGAGTTCGGTGAATGGTAGTTGCCCTGCGTCCGGGTTCTTGTCAGTTGTTAAGCTTTCCGGCTAAATGAGGCGGAATTCTTACAAGCTTAAAGCCCTACATTAGTAGCCCTATGTCAACCGTGAAATATAAGCGTTACATAACCCCCTATCTCCCTAACCCTTTCTGAAATTCAGGTGTACCCTAGACCCTGAACCCGACCCGACCCTACTCACTCTCTTCCAAAATCTTTGCAAGATAGTTCCCTTCCCCGCCCCAAGCCCCAAACCCTTCCAGAAGACGAGTACCGGTGTGCATACGGAAGCTTCACAGACAGGCGTAGGGACCGGTCGAACACGTGTCCCACACCCCAAACCCCAAAACCTTATGAACCCTAAGCCCGGAACCCACCCTAAACCCTAAACCCTATAAACCCTACACCCTAAACCCTAAACCCTGAACCCTTAAGGGGCTAAAGGTTTTTACCTGTCAAGGCAGTGGGTTGCTACAGTGGTCACTCCTGTCGCTCAGCGAGGCGGGGGTCGCGGCTTTGTGGAAGGTGCGGGTGAGGGGTTTAGCGAGGGTTTAGGGTTTAGGGGCTAGGGGCTAGGGGCTAGGGGTTAGGGGTTAGGGGTTAAGGTTTGGTGCATCGGATCCCACAAGGTTGGTTGGGTTGCAGGGGCCCCGACGTTCCCCGCCAAGAGCTCGAGAAGCACATCCACAAGAAATCAGCAACAGCTCCAAGAGTCCCCGCACCCTAAACCCTAAACCCTAAACCCTAAACCCTAAACCCTAAACCCAAAACTCCACTTGAGGATCTTAGGCTTTACGATTCAGTGCTTTCGCAACGGTACTTCATGAGCTTGCCATCGCGCAAACCGCTCACTCAACGAGCTGAGAAGGACCATGTAACCCCAGAACTGGAGAACCCTAAGCCCGAAAATTTAAGAGCCTCCGGCTCAAGCCGCCGACCCCGCTGGAGCATAGTTGAGAGGTCTAAACCCGCTCACATGGTTCGAAGATCATCCCAGCCTGCTCGGCAGAGTTCTGTGAAACGTTTGGGGGCGGGGTCGGGGTGGCACCAGGACAAGCTCAAGCCCAAGGGAAGGGGGGGGGGGGGTGGGGTGGGGGTGGGGGGGGGGGGGGGGTGTGGGGGGGGTGGGGGGTGGGTGGGGGTGGGTGGGGGGGGGGGGGGGGGGGGGGGGTGGGGGTGGGGGGGGGGGGGGGGGGGGGGGGGGTGGGGGGGGGGCGGGTGGGGGGGGGGGGGGTCGGGTGGGGGGGGGGGGGGGGCGGGGTGGGGGGGGGGGGGGGGGCGGGTGGGGGGGGGGGGGGGCGGGTGGGGGGGGGGGGGGGCAGGGTGGGGGGGGGGGGGGCGGGCGTGCTCCCCGAAAAAATTGTGCACCGACCCCCCCCCCCCCCGGGGGTAAGGAGGGAGGGAGGTTTTCACCTCCTCAAACCCATCCAACACGCCGCCAGGGTCAGCGGACCCCAAGCCCCAAAAGCCCTAAACCCCCCAAAAGCCCTAAACCCCAAAAAACACGTAAACCCCTAAGGCCCTAAACCCCCTAGACCCTAGAGCCCATGGTACTTATTAACCAATTATAACGGTACTAGTAACCCAAATCATCACCACATTAGGGCACTTTAAGGGACTTATATAAGTGGGTTATAAGTACAGTGATAATATTGGTTCACAAGTTATCATATTGGTTCACAAGTATTAATATTCGTTCATAAGTTATAATATTGGTTCAGAAGTATTAATATTGGTTCATACGTATTCATAAGTACCCCAACACCTCCAAGTCGAGGCCGGGCTCGGCATCCTCCGCGTCCGCCCCGAGCAGATGCCGCAGCTTCGCTTCGCGCTCACCATGATGTGCCTCGGGCTCTAGGGATGCTGGCTTCGAGCTTCTTAAGGTATTATTTGTAGAGCTGTTTATTGGGGGTTTATAGGGTACATAGATTTTTAATGGTTTTTTATGGGGTTTGTCTAGGGGGTTGATGGGGTCTACAGGCTTCTTGCTTCTTAGGGTATTTATAGTATTTATAGAGCTGTTTATAGGGGTTTTTATAGGGGGTTTCTCGGGTCTACAGAGTTTTATAGGGTGTGTTTTAATAGGGTTTGTCTAGGGGGTTGATAGGGTCTGTAGGGTTCATAGGGTCTATAGGGGTCATAGGGTTTACAGGGTTTATAGGGGTTAGGGTTTATAGAGTTTATAGGGTCTATAGTGTCTATGGGGGGGGGGGGGAATTTACAGATGTTGACAAAGCGCTTGCTGGCCTAGGGGGTTTTAAGCTTTTGTGGTTTGAGGGTTTGAGGCTTTTGGGGTCAAAAGGGTCAGGGTTTACGGGTTTGAGGGTGGAAGTTCTCAAGGGTTCAGGGTTTCAGGGTTTATAAGGGTGTTGCGTACGGGGTTTGGGGCCGGTTTAACCCGAGTCCGGCTCAGAACTCTCCGTTGGCCTCTCTAGCTTGGCTTCGGAAGGCTGGCTACAAGGAGGGGCCCCTGTACTATACTAACTGTACTTAAGGGACTTATGACCTATAGGTTAGGCTCCTTATAGCCCAATTTAGGGCTCTTATAGCTCTACTCATAACTCGGGAGGGGCCCCTCCTTGTATGGAGGTTTGTGGGCAACATGGGGCGACTGCTGGGATGTTTCGGGCTCACTAAGCATTTTTGGCTTCCAGAAAGGAGAACCAGTTGTACGCTTTCCCCTAGACCCTACATCCTACACCTCCAAGGACCCTCGACCCTTCACATGAATCACCTGCGCCGGCAACGCACTGAAAGACAAGAACAGAAGCATCCCTCGACGTCATGCCTCAATGCCAGAACGCGCTGCGGCGGCAAGCGCTGTCGAGCTGATGTGCTGGCGGTTGCCACGCGTCTTCTCTAGGTAGGTTGGGCCCCCTCGACCTTTCTTAGGTTCAGGAGGATCTTATCTTTCTTATGTTTAGGAGGATCTTATCTAGGAACCCCTTTCAGAGGGTTTTACAGGGTCAGCCAAGAGCTTGGCTTGGGGCAAATCCCTGCAGCACACCCCAGTAGTGGCAAAAGGGTTTGGCTTCGGGTTTTCTCGGGCTTGGGAGAGTGAGGGAAGGAACCCGGGGGGAGCATTCTGATTTATAACTACTGCTCGTACTCTTCCATGATTCCCTATACTATTCAACATCAGATAAGGATACTTACGTGCCGCGCCATAGAACCGACAGCAGAGAAGGTCCAACCATGCGTTGTGAGGCTCCCCCAATCCCTAAACCTAAATGGGTATTTCCCAAAATAGAGGTACCCCTTGTATACCCCAAACTGAATAGAATCCCCTAAAAAGGGAGCCCCAACAAGGGCACCCCGGTTTTCGGAAGCCCCTAAATCCTAAACCTGCTGAGTTTGTCGAGGCACCTTCCCTCGCCGCACTGGCGTGTGCAAGATGACATGCAGCAGCTTCTGCCCGGGTTCGACCGGAGGCAGGACAAGTGGTACCCTGGTTCTCTGGAGTCTCGCTGCGTGTTCTCGTAAGACTTTAGCCCCCTATGATGGGGTCGCTAAAGGCTTTGCGGCTGAAACTGTGCACCCTGGTGAGTTGTTTGTAGGGTTCAGGGTTTGGGGTACCCTAAACTCCATACCCCTAATTTGAAACCCCTAGGCTTTTGGACCCGAACTGCATCTCAACGGAAGCCTTGGTGGGACCTTGTGTGTTTGTGTGTGTGTGTGTGTTGCAACGTCCTGATTGCACCCAACACCCCATTGCTCTGGGTTTAGGGGAACTCTAAAGACCTAAGCCCTGGTCGAAGCCCAAATCTCTGTGCTTTTCAGGGTCCAGAAGCAACGGAGCCGCCGTCCTCGAAGCTGTCATCGCTTCTTTGCTTCTGTTCGGCAATTGCGAAACTGTTGTCGCTTCTTGACGTCCGTGTTCGCCATATGCGAAACTGCTGTCGCTTTTGGGCGTCTGAGCTCGCCAAAAGCGATACTGTCGTCGCTTTGGACGTCTGGGCTTGTGGCGTCTTTGTATGTGCACTTGATCCATTGGAATGCTCTCGCGTGTCCGCATGGTTTCTCACTTTTTGGTCTACGCTGGCAGAATACGTATATTGACTCTGCTAGCTAGCCAAGGCAGCCTCACGATCCTGCCGCAGACGTGTCGACGGCGCCGACGACCTGCAATGCCCTGAAATCTCGGTACGTCTCACCTGATGTAAGGCCCTCACGTGCGACCCGAAACTCTTACATAAGCCCTAAACCGCCTGAACCCTGCAGTCTTGAACCCTGAACGTTCAACCCTAAACGGTATACTCGTTAACCCTAAACCCTAAGCCCTAAGCCCTAAACCTTAACCCCTAAACCCTAAACCCTCCAGAACTCTCAAGGCATGGGTACCTTGGTGAAGCAAGCAAGCGGAAAAGACGCGGTGGCGCCTTAAAGGTTTCGGGTCTCGGGTCTCTCCACTTGGCTAGGCTCGGCCCTTGGGACATGTTTAGGGTTTAGGGTTTAGGGTTTAGGGTTTAGGGTTTAGGTGCTTCAGAGGATCATACTGGAGAAGAACTCCTCAGAGGGCGGCTGAAGTGCCGATCCCTTCCATACTCCTGCTGAGGCCTGGGCTTTGGAACTCTTGGAACAACCTCAGAAAAAAGAGGCGACAGCTGCCCCAACCAAGAAATACAGTTCATCTTATATAGTTGGGACTACGTTCTACAAGTGTCTTGCAACATCTCGTCCTGGACGTCGTCAGATCTCGCGGTTTAGGGTTTAGGGTTTAGGGTTTAGGGTTTAGGGTTTAGGGTTTAGGGTTTAGGGTTTGGGGTTTAGGGTTTAGGGTTTAGGGTTTAGCTGTGCAGCATGGAAAGGGCGAAGTCGGGCAGCCGACGATGGCCCCAAGTTCAGGCTTGGCCTTGATGCCCCACGGATTTAGGGTTTAGGGTTTTTTTTAACCCGATAGGGTTTAGGGTTTAGGGTTTAGGGTTTAGGGTTTAGGGTTTAGGGTTTAGGTCTTAGGACCTTGCAGCCTAAGGCCGAAAGACCAGGTAGAAGGCAGAAGCGGGGGCCTGTGGCAGGAAGATCGCGGGAGGCGGAAGGAAGATTGGAGACCCAAAAAAAATTCCGCCATCCCGGCCCATCGGAACAATTTCCACAGAAAACCCGAAGCCCGCAACTCCGGAGAAGCTTAGTGGCGAGGCCCTGAGAGTTGCGCCGTTTTTCACGGCTGAGCGGGAATCCGAAGCGTCTCGGTGTTGAAGACTTCGACACCTCGGCAGGAGGAGCCGAGATTGGAACGACATTCCTGGCGGCCATATGCTTTCCGATTGCAGCGGCAAAACATTGACTCGTAGTCATTTAGGAAATATGGCGGGGTTTACGAAACGAAGGGACCCCAATATAGGCCCCCAAATAGTAATTCGTAAACCCCCATTTTCAGCTGAAAGCCGAACAAATTCCGGAAAATGACCTCTGACGGGTGGCCTTCGAAGCTACTTTCGCAATGAAGGGTGGACGTGCTGTACACCCGCCGCACGCGCATGAGCGAGTCTAGAATCTGATGTCATTGTGCAGTCTTCATAGTCAAGTGCAAGTTCCGGAAGGGTTACCGGGCCGCTGCACGTCTATGGGTTTAGGCTGGGTTTAGGGCTGAGTGGGTGTTGGCGATGGGAGGCACGTACTCATCCAATGGCACTGGGCGCGACTGGCCGGCAGCTTAGTTGCCAAGCTCTCGTGCAGATCACGCGGCCAAACATTGCAGCCCCCTGTTTAGAGACAATCTCGGGCTTCCTGCTCGTGCCTTTGTGGACCCTGGGTTGATCCTTTAAGGTGTACACGGTTTGGGGTTTACGAGGGTTTAGGAGCTCATGGTACAAGCCTAGACAACGTGAAGCAGCAACGCCGATGAGGTTTTTCATGGGGGACTTCGAATATCGACACGGCCGCCGAACACCTCCGCCCAACACCAAAGGCCTCACTGTCTATCTGTCTGCTTGTGTGTGTGTGTGTGATGTTCTGACATTCGTGAGAATCGTAGTGGTGTAGCAGAGTTGTTGTCGTCGTGCACGTGTGAAGTGTGTATAGTAGTGCTGGCCCCGAAGACTTACGAAACGGCGCCAAGAGAGCTGGGTGCTGCCCTTTGCAAGCCAGAAAGCCTCTTGGACTAGAGGCAAGCTGGTTCTGAAGAATGTTGTGGAATTGGGACCCTAAACCCTAAAACCCCATAAACCCCTAACCCTTACTGCGAAACCCTTATAAGCCCCTAAGCCCTAAGCCTGAACCCATGAGAGCTTGGGACTCCAGGTTTGGACTTCAGAGGCTTTTTTGAATTTCTGTTGTGGAAGGTCGCGAAGGGTTGGAGTCCTTCCCCTTTGAGCCCTAGTCCCTGCTTAGAAGGCATGGGGGAAGGTTGAAAATAGCAGGCGTACTACGTACCTGCTAGATATTGGGGGTTGTGGGAGACCATTTTTTGTATCATTTCCTGAGAACCCTATAAAACCCCAAACCCCAAACCCCAAACCCTAAACCCTAAACCCTAAACCCTAAACCCTAAACCCTAAACCCTAAACCCTAAGCAACCCCAAATTCTGCGCCTAAACTTCGCAGCCTCAACCCCGGTGATACGAAGTCCCAAACCAGTGCCAGGAAACCGTCCGGAGAAGCCGCTTCAGCAGCCGCATCCTCGGTCTTCCGGAGTTCCAGAGAGGGCCCCGGGGCTTAGGGTTTAGGGTCTAGGGTTTAGGGTTTAGGGTTTAGGGTTGGTTACGGTTACTGTGGAACCCTAAACCCTAAGCTCTTCAACTCCAGGTGTAGCTGTTGGCTGCACCTTCCCCCAGCAGAAGAGGGCAGAAAGCAGGGAGAGAGAGAGAGAGAGAGAGAAAAAAAAACAAACACAGGAGCGAGAGCGAGAGAGAGAGAGAGAGAGAGAAAGAGAGAGAGAGAGAGAAAAGAAAAAAAACGCGAGAGAGAGAGAGAGAGAGAGCGGGAGAAAGAGAGAGAGAAAACCCCAAAACCTCAAGCCCCAAAACCCTACACCCCAAAACCCCAAAACCCCCAAAACCCCCAAAACCCACAAAACCCCAAAACCCCCAAAACCCCCAACAACCCCAAAACCCCCAAATCCCCAAACCCCAAAACCCTCACGCCCCCCAAACCAACAAACCCCAGAACCACCCGTAAGTTGAGCGCCAAGGCCCCGCGGTCCGCCAGCGGAAGTCCAGGCAGGCCGGCGACGCACCGAGGGCGAGCGCACGACGCAGGCGCCAGCTTCATTATCAGAGAGAGGGCTATCACCTAGTTAGGGTTTAGGGTTTAGGGTTTAGGGTTTAGGGTTTAGGGTTTAGGGTTTAGGGTTTAGGGTTTAGGGTTTAGGGTTTAGGGTTTAGGGTTTAGGGTTTAGGGTTTAGGGGGCTTGGAAGATTTTGTTGTTCCAATCGTTGTTCGTTTGTTTTCTCACCTCCTTTTTTCGCGTGGGGTTCAGGGTTTGGGGTTTGGGGTTTATTGTTCTGTTTAGGAATGTTTTTCAGAGGGCATATTGTTCCCTTATTTATCGGGTTTAAGAGGATCATACAGTGGCCTTTTCTGATCAGCGTTTAAAGGGTCGACCCACAACCCTTGACCCTGACAAACACTAAAGCCCTAAACCCCAAATTTAGGTTCTTTTTTTTGAGTTGAGGTTCCCTTATAAGCTCCTTAGAACTAAAAAGGGCTCCCTGTTGATGTGTTCGGGTACTCTCTGGGGTCTAGACAGCCCCCTAAACCCTAAACCCTAAACCCTAAACCCTAAACCCTAAACCCTAAACCCTAAACCCTAAACCCTAAACCCTAAACCCTAAACCCTAAACCCTAAACCTACCCTAAACCCTAAACCCTAAACCCAAACCCTAAACCCTAAACCCTAGGTCGAGCGCTGGACGCAGCGCCACGCCGAGCGCGGGGAAGGTTTCGGTGGCCCCAAGGCCTGTGGGCTGAAGTACGATGTAGAAGTAGGGTTTAGGGTTTAGGGTTTGGGGTTTGGGGTTTGGGGTTTCGGGTTTAGGGTTTAGGGTATAGAGTTTAGGGTTTAGGTTTTAGGGTTTAGGGGTGGCTTGGGGGCTTTAGGTGGTTTTGGGGATTCAGAGTTTTGGGCTTGAGGGGGCTTCATGAAGATGATCCTGCCGTTGAGGCTTCAGAGGCGCGGCGGTTTAGGGTTTAGGATGTTTTGGGCAGGGGGGGGGGGGGGGATGGGGGGCTTGATGTTTGTTTGCGAAAGGGAGCACGCCAGTTGTCGCCAGTTGCAGGATGTTGTGGTTACCAGATCCTGCTTGATCCTCAGCGGCAAGGCGTGAGATGGAACTGGGAGGCTCTCAGAGACCCAGTGGTCCTCCAACTCTTCAGACAGGATCTGGAGAGATTGTGCAAGGAGCAAGATGAACACCAACGAGAGGTCACTGAACATTGGGAATGGTTGAAACAGCAGCTT